TCCTGTAGCAGTATTTCTGCTATAGAGCGGTCAGGAAGCGGTTACAGAAGGGGTTTGTGTTACGGCGCTGCTTTATTTTAACTGACAATTGTGCGGTCATGCAACGCTGCACCAAAATTAAATTTACATTCTTTTTTCCCCCATGAATTGGGCTTTCTTTTGGTGGTATTTGATCACCTGTGTGTTTTTTATTATTTGCGCTATGAAAAAAAATGACTCACAATTTTGAGAGAAAAAACATTTTGGACTTTTTGCTATAAAACATGTCCAGTAAAAAAATATAAAAATCAAATTTCGTCATAAATTTCGGCCAAAATGTATTCTGCAACATGTCTTTACTAAAAAAAAATCCCAATACGTGAAAATTAATTGGTTTGCGTGAAAGTTATAGCGTTTACAAATGGCAGTATAGATACTGGATTTTTTTAATACTAATAATAGTGGCAATCAGCGACTTATGGTGGCAATCAGTGACTTATGGTGGAGATCAGCAACTTATGGTGGGAACAGTGTGCTGAAAGCTGACAGGGAGGAGAACTCTATTGAAATCAATGCAGCCTTCCTCCCCATCAGTGTTTGCCGGCAACTGCCGGGCTCCGGCAGGTAATCAGCAGTCGGGATCCGGTGATTGACACCCGCAGCCGCGGGTATATGTACTGCGGGCGGTCCCTTAGTGGTTAAAGGAATTCCCAGCCATTTGTTTACAAACAGAAGTAAAAAGACTGAAGCTGTCACTTGCCAGAAATTTAAATGACATTTTTTTATTTGTAGTAGATGTCAGTTTTGCTGCAAAGAGTTGTATATAATCATGCAGATGTGTCACTTCATAGGGAGGTTGAGGACGTGCTAGGCATGTTATTTAATAGTATTTTTCATTCTTTCAATGTTTCCCTTTTACGTTTTATTAAAATTGCTACTCCTTGCCAAACATAATTTTTCAAACATTTTTTATGGTTTGATACATGTCCCCCAGTTCAGTGTCAGAACCCCATGGCATTTCTTTGACAATCCTTTCCTTATTAGCCTAGGTAAAATGTATTACTATTTTTTACAGCCTCCCATATTGTGCAAATGTAAGCAGTGTAGCTATCACTGCATTTGGCACAAATGATGCAGAAAGCAGATGTTTGTGCAGAGCAGAAAATGAAACACAGTCTATCACAACACAGCAATTCCTATAATTCTGTTATTAGAAATGGTGCTTCTACAAGTTCAATACTGAACAATTTCAATGGATGCACAGCTTTCCAAACTGTAGCACAATTTGCTTTCAATGTGTGAAATCAGACAAATGAGATTAATGCAGGAGGATGTAATGCATTCCTCAGTTGTTTCTAAGCACACCTCAGTGTTTATGTTGCAGCCAGTTGCTCACAGAAAATGCGACAAGACCATGTACTTACCGAGGTATAAAATCATAATAGTTGTAGCAGAGAGTATTGAGCTTTAGAAATATTTCTTCTTACTGTTCCATTTCAAATGCTACTTTATGCATTTACAGTACATTTCTCTATAGACCCAGTCAATCTGGAGAGCATGGTTACCTGCTGACTTGACACCATCCACAGACAGCTCAACTCTGCAATAGGACACATAGGTTGAATCCAACCAATTTTACTTCAAAGAAGAGTAGTGCAGAGGATGTTTTTCCAGTCTGAAGTGTAAGAAGACATTGACTTTTCTAAGCCCTATCTCTGTGAAGAACTAACACTGAGGGAACATGGATGAAACAGGGTCAGTGAGAGGGTTTAGCTAGGACTGAATTAACTAATACTGAAGACAAAGTGAAGACAGAGGGAGATATAAAAAACTGAGTACCACTAAGTTAAAACTCTATTTAATTCATTTTGAATATTCAAAGCTAACTCCCCCATCGATCCATGTCTCCATGCTTTATTTTGTTGAGAAATCACTTGGAAAAACATCCCCCTAGCATTTCTGGATGTGGCCATCCATGAGTAAGGGCAAGTAATTCATGTAGCACGTACTTCCTGAAATCCACCTACCCTAAGCTTAGACCGCAGGCAGGAAGGTGTGCTTAGCTGAGAAAAAGGATTACAAAAAGTCAATTCTGATTGAAAGAGTGAAGTTCTACTTTTTTCACATGGAGCAGACCCGTTTAGCAGATCCGCTTGCTCAGCAGGTGATCTCTCCAGGGGATCGGAACGCCCATGTGAAAGAGCCCTTAAGGTTAAAACTTTCATCATCTGTCCCTCTTACATTGCAGCCCAAAGAAGGAAGAAGCTGCTTACATACTCTCCAGCTACTATACAATATGTGTGACTATTATCATTGATATAATCATCTCTAATTTTTAGTTAGTGGTCGTCTTAAAATTAAAATGGAACTTCACTCTATCAATCAATTTTGACTATTTGTAATCCTTACAGGACATGACTGAGAGCTTTGCAGTCACTTTTGCAGCAGTTGTTTTCTTACTCCAGGTCACAATCCTGCACAATGTCCTTTTGTCTCTTTCAGTCAGTTGACCATGTCAACATATGCTTACCAGATGATGTTTTCCCAGAAACTGTATTTTCCGCCATAACCTTTGATATTGTACATCGTGACATGGCAAATAAATTGGCAACTTAAGTCACAGAGCCACCTGCTAAGTGGGCACCAAAAATGTGCCCTCTTTGAAACTCCATAAGCTCTAACATGACTCCATGTTACTAGCAGTGCATGCAGTGAATAATAAAAGTAAGGCTTCCCACCAGTTAGCTAGGTGTCTCCTCACACAGCAAAAGCAAAATAATATGTTACATGTCGTCACTTTCATCAAATCATGTAGTGTTTCCATTTTTTGTCTAACCCCTGTATGGTCAACTCCTGAATAAGTAGGATTGCTGTGACATGCTAGTAATCATCATTCCAATCGGATCACAAAACTGAAAAGACTTTATGATAATGCCTATTACAACATGAACTGCCAATCTGGAGCAAATAATTAGCAATCACTATATTTTCTATATCAAATGCTATAGACACTAACTATAACTAGTACAATGATTGTCCTTGGGCAATCCTGTAACTTATGAACTAGGATCCACAGACGTTAATATTTATAATTTTGCACAGTTCAAGTACGTTCTGAATGTTCAAAGACAGTTCCATGCCTGGCATCCAATCTGTTTTCTAAATATGAAATGTAGATTATATTACATGCAGTATATTGAGCTGTGTAGTGGGAATACTAGGCTTTAGTGGGACATATTGTATATTTTCTCAGTTCCTCTGTATACTAAGGCCAAATAAACCATTATTGCAGTGAAATATGATTTGGAACTGGGCAATATCATTCGGCCTTTAATTTCTGTCAATTGGAATGTAATCAATATTATCTTGAATAAGATGATATTGCAGAGAATAGATCCTCATTGGCACTGAGGGAAATGGAGTCAGCATGCTTGCTTATTTAGAAAAGGTGTGAACCCTTAGAAGGACCAAGGTGAAGGGCCTAAAGAGCCATTTGGTCTTTACCAGAGCACCCCACAAGGGGGCATTTGATTTGCTGCTTACAACTCACCCAACTGCAGCTCTCAAGCAGGGAAGTCTGGGGAGTACATTGGAAACACAAGTGAAGGGAGATTGTAGTGGTAACAAGTTGCTAGTTCAAACACACAGGGAATCACACAGGTGTTGGGATGCAGGTCACTGGCTGGAATACACAAGAGGGAGTTATTTACTAAAACATGAGACTGCAAAATATGGTGCAGCTGCGCATGGTAGCCAATCAGCATGTTCAGTTAAGCTTTGACAACAAAACTTGGAATCTGATTGGTTTCAATGCAGAGCTGCACCATATTTTGTTAGGTTTTAATAAATAACCCCGAAGGAGTCACAGAGGTGAAGTAATACTGTATGCTGGCTGCAGTACACAAGGTCACAGATGCAGGCACAGTTGTTGCAGGCTGGAGTGCACACAGAATTACACATGTTGGGATAGAATACACAAGGGTTCACAAAAGTAATAGTTGCAGGTTGCACACTGAAATACATCACAGAAGAACAGGAGCACATTTCTGATTTAAATAAGTAATACTAGAGACAATGAGAAAATGCACAGGTCACAGAAGATCACTGTAGACATGCTCAAGAAGTCACTAGGAGATGCAGAGGGCTCCACAGCTATTGCAGTGACACCTTGCTCAGACACAGAGCAACACATGTGCTGGCCTTTTAAGACACAGCAAATCCATGCATTATCAGAAAGATTATTTAGATAACATCTTGAGTTTTAAACTGGCCCCATCCCTGTAGAGCAGTGATGGCGAACCTATATGGCACGCGTCCCAGAGCTGGCACACAGAGCCATCTCAGTGGGCACGCCAGGAAGAAGAGGAAGATGAGCGCACACGGACCACACACACTGACCGGCCATCCAGATCTCGTCCACACTGGACCCCCATCAAACTACATCTCCCACATGTCTCTGGGGCCAGGGTGGGTGTGGGCAAGAGGAAACAGCTCCTATGCAGATCTGGCACCAGGGGTTATGTAGCCGGGGATGGGCGTGGAAGAGAGGAAGAGGCTCCCACACTGCTCTGGGGCCAGGGGCGATGTGTTCAGCGTGGATGGGAATGAGCTGCTGGGTTGGAAGCCACACCGACACTGCCAGAGATTAACTGCTTGCCAACCATGCTATAGCCAAAAGATGGCTACAGCGTGGTTGTCTAGTTCTGGGAGGGCGTCCCAGAACGCGAACCCATGGCACACACCCTGCACTGTCGGTGATGATCGCTGTGTCCTACGGATACAGCTGATCACGTGATAAGGTAAAAGGCCAACCACAGCATGCTTTTACCACGTGATCAACTGTATCCAATGACACAGCTGATCACAATGTAAATACAGTTGCTGGTTATCGGCTGCACGCTGTCACAGATTGAAGAAAGTACTGCAGATAACCGGCAAATGTGACAGGGGAGATCTGCACTAATAATCAGGGCATTGATTATCAGTGCCATTCAGCAGTGCCCAGCAATGCCGCCCAGCAGTGCCCAGCAGTGTCATCCATCAGTGCCCAGCATGTGCCCAGCCTGTCGCCTGTCAGTGCTGCCCAGCAGTGCCACCTGTCAGTGCTGCCCATGCCACCTGTCAGTGCTGCCAGCAGTGCCACTCAGTGCCCAGCAGTGTCGCCCATCAGTGCTGCCCATCAGTGCCACCCATCAATGATGCCCAGCAGTGCCGCCGATCAGTGCCGTCTGTCAGTGCCTCCAGTTGGTGCTATCAGTCAGTGCCACTTATCAGTGCCCATCATTGCTGCATATCAGCATATCAGTGCATCATCAGTGCCTCCTCATCAATGCCCACCAGTGCCCATCAGTGCCCCTCATCAGTGCTACCTATCTGTGCCGCCTCATCAATGCCCATCAGTGCTGCCTATCAGTGCAGCCTCACCAACGCACATCAAAGAAGAAATATTACCTGTTTGCAAAATTTTATAATAGAAGCAAAGAAAACCTTTTATGTTTTTAATTTTTTGCTCTTTTTTCATTTATAGTGCAAAAAATAAAACACCCAGTGGTGATTAAATACCACCAAAAAAGCTCTATTTGTGTGAAAAAAATGAGTGTTGCATGACCGCACAGTTGTCATTGTCAAGTGCAACAGCACTGAAAGCTGAAAATTGGTATGGGCAGGAAGGGGGTAGAAGTGCCCGGTAGGCAAGTGGTTAATTGCAGTGTTGGCACTTTGAAATAAAAAAGTTGGTTTTGTGTTGCAGTTTTGGCACTCAGGGCTCAAAAAGGTTCGCCATCACTGCTGTAGAGAATAACTAATTCAATTTTACTTTTAAACCTACTTCAAAGGGGGGCTGGAGTGTAGAAGCGGGGTATTTTGTGTGTGTCATCATATTACAATCATATGACAATTTTCTAAAAGTACATATAAAAATTTATTACAAAAGGTAGTGTAAAAAAAAAAATAAGAACAACATGCAGCTTATCATCTGGCAAATAGCAGTTTGTACATATACAATAGATCACTAAGTCACTGTGTTGAGAGCAAGCGTGCAGGATCAACGTGTTTCACTCACAATTCTTCATCAGGATCCATGTCAACACAGGGACATTCACAAACTGTGCAGATTAAAACAAGATTTTACATATAATACACCATATATTACAGAACATAATTAGATATATTAAAAATTTTAGTTATTTCCAAAATACACAACTTCCACATACAGTGAGGAACAAAAGTATTTGAACACCCTGCGATTTTGCAAGTTCTCCCACTTAGAAATCACAGAGGAGTGTGAAATTTACATTGTAGATACATTCTCCATCTGAGAGACAGAATTTAAAAAAAAAAATTCAGGAAATCACATTGTATGATATTTAAAGAATGTATTTGTCTTGCACTGCTGAACATAAGTATTTGAACACCTAAGAAACAGCAAGAATTCTGGCTCTCAAAGACCTGTTACTGTGCCTTTAAAAAGTCCACCTCTACTCCACTCATTAATCTAACTTAGTAGCACCTGTCCGAGATCTTAAAAGACACCTGTCCACCCCACAGTCACTCAAACGCCAACTACTACCATGGGCAAGACCAAAGAGCTGTCAAAAGACACCAGAGACAAAATTGTGGACCTCCACAGGGCTGTAAAGGGCTACGGGGCAATTGCCAAGCAGCTAGGTGAAAATAAATCAACTGTTGCAGCAATTGTTAGAAAAATGGAAGAGGCTCCATGCAAGATCTCAGGATTTATACAACTCAACCTACATTCATAGATGGATTTGTTGCACATAGTGGCAACCTATCAGATGCTTGATCTTATACACCTATGGCCATGGAGGTGATTGGAACACCTGAATCCAATGATTTGGAGGGGTGATCCAATACTTTTGGCACGCACCATCTATAATCCCTCCAGTGAAGTAAAGAACACTGTTGTGTGGAACTTTATTGCAGAAGTAAACAGAACAGATACTGTATCTTTGTAGCTATACCCAACACATGAAAACATTTTCTGTTTATTAGTGTAAGAAAAAGGGACACAGTGGGTGGCAGCTAAGTGTAGAACGATAAATGAACAATTTGTTAATATAAAACAGTCAAATGCAGACTCACATAAAAGTAAATACAACTTGCTTATCTGCAGCCAAATACAGGATGCTAAGGTCCATCCACCTGGAATACCACATATAGTGGCTGAGAGCGAGCAGTCAGTGGTTGGATTACAGAAGAACCAAGTCCACGGATCACAGAAGTAGGGGACAACCACCCTGGAGCGCAGAAGTGGAAATGACATCACATCTGTAACGGACCTTTTGCTATGGAATGTGTGCACTTTGTGGACTTTTTTTGACATTAGTTTCCTAATCTTGTTGATTTCAGCATTACCAAGTAAGAATCAAAATGTGTGTGGGTACTTTCAAACCTCAGGATGCACTGCTTCACTGAAACATTTTACATTGAAAACCAAACATTTTTGTTCAGACCAGACTGTTGTTATAGTGAAATCATTATTAAAGCAGTAGTAAACTCTACTTTGTCACTTTTAGCTACAGGTAAGCTTATAATAAAGCTTAACTGTAGGTAAAATTAATATCTCCTAAACATGCACCACATAGGAGATATTGTCATGTATTATTGTCATGTATTATACAATGTCACTGTTGCTTGTGCACTGCACTCTAAAGTGAGGGCACACTATACTCTGGTTTCTCTTCAGATCGTATAAATCTTTCGCCTTTTACTAAAGTGAGGGCACACTGAATATGATATCAATCTAGAGCTTTGTGCTGAGACCGTAGCTCCTGTGTGCATGCACAAGAGTGACATCATTGCAGCTCAGAGCTCAAGAACCCGAAAGAAAGGCTGGGTGAAGTTGGAAGCCCTGCCATCTGTGATAGAACTCTACTAGAGGGCTTAATTTTACAGGTAAGTCTTTCATAATGTGCTAGTATGTGATGCATTATGCCATTAACTTGCAGGAGAACCAGGTTTTTTTTTTAACCAGTTGCCGCCCGGCCTATAGCCAGATGGCAGCCGGGCAAACAGCTCATTCCTCCGGGTGGATGCCATATATGGCGTCCTTCCAGGCTTGAGCACTGCGCCTGCCCGCAGGGCCACGCAGCAGTCACCTCGGACATGGCCGATGACAGATCTGTGCACAGGCTCCGTTGCCAGTACCATGTGACCTCCTGTAACCAATCACAGCAGGTCACATGACAGTTGTATACAATGGATGGCTTCCTTACATGCCATCCATTGTATACAAGTGTGTCTAGCTGTGAATGATCACAGTGATCACATGCACAAGTTGGGCCAATCACAGTCCAGCTGTGTCATGTGATTGGCTGTGGCCAAATCACAGCTAAGCACAAAAAAAACCCCTGACTTAATCAATTTCAAATAAATTATTTGCTATAAGCAAATTGTGTAAAAAAAAATAAATAAATACTGATCACTTCCCCAAAGTAGTACAATGTTACTATAGTAACATTATACTACTTTGGTCATAGTGAAACATGAAAAAAAAAATCTTAAAAAAAGAAAAAAAGTAATACAAAATTTAAAAAAAATGAAATAAAAAAAATTTCAATTTTTTTCAGTACCGTCACCAGTCAGCATCCCTGATCATCGCCATACCGTTATATGATGATGCTGTACTGCACTGGTGACAGTATGTAAAAAAACAAAATAGTGAAAATCATTTTTTGAATTTCTTCATTTCTGAAAAATTATGACAAAAAAATTACAACTTCAAGAAAATCTTGTGAAATCTTATGAAATACGTCGGACTGTCTACTTTGCAAAAAGGGGTCATTGGGGGGATATCTGTACTGTTCTAACATTTTTGGACCTCAAGAAATTAGATTGGCTGTCAGTACTTCAGGATTGCTCAGTTTTCAGATCTATACCATAGTTTGTGAACTCTATAACTTTCCTACAGACTAAATAATACATCCTAATTTGGGTTATTTTCACCAAAGAAATGTAGCAGAATACATCTCGGCCTAAATTTATGAAGAACAATTATTTATTTGCAAACTTTTATAACGGAAACAAAGAAAAACTTATTTTTTTTCAACATTTTTGGTCTTTTTTGTTAATTTAGCAAAAAAGTTAAAACCCCAGTGGTGATTAAATACCACCAAAATAAAGCTCTAGTTGTGTGAAGAAAATTATAAAATTTTAGTTTGGGTACAATGTTGTATGACCGCGCAATTGTCATTCAAAGTTTAAGAGCGCTGAAACCTGAAAATTGGCCTGGAGGGAAGGGGGTAAAAGTGCCCGGTATGGGAGCAGTTAATAAGACTTTACAGCTTTAAAAAAATGTACACAGTTTGGTTGCCTGACTCTTTATTATGTAGGTTCTATGCAATCATAAAATATATCTTGGGGGTGGGGGAGGATTGAATTTTCAACTTTATAATATATTTTTCATTGGTATATATAAAAAGTAAAAAAAATTGGACAACATTGTAGGCTGGCATAAGGCAAGTAAGGGTTTCAGCATCACATGGCATTTGCTAAGCCACACATAGCTAAACAATACCGCTAAGAGATGTAATTATGCTCTCAGTACTAAGATGGTAGTTCTGGTCAGCATATTAAAGGCCCCCAAAAATGCATAAAAAAGATTCTTTTTTTTTATATACATACAGTATATATTTCCTGTCTAATATAGCTGTTGCAAGTTTGCATTGCCTGTTTTCAAACCTATGAACAGCCTTGCTATAGAACAGTGAGTTAAGACAGTATCAATCTTTATAAATGCTTTTATTGCAACTTAGATGCAATTTCATCATGCCCTGTAATTAGATGTCATGCCCTAAAGCTGAGCTGACTAAGACTTTATATAAAGGTAAAGCACTTCACTATTTTTAAGTGAAACTGATTTCTGATGGTTTCTAAACTATTCCTTAGCCACTCAGTGTGGTATGAAATGATGTGACTTATTAATAAAAACTAAATTATTATTATTATTATTATTATTATTATTATTAATAATAATAATTTTAATAGCTTACTAACCCCATCTAAATTATGAATAGCAAAATCAGCACATTTTGGGAGAACAAAATGTGAGAACAACTTTGAAGATTAATAAGACTATAGAATGGATATCTGTGAATATATTCCACCCCGTACTTTTATAAGGCCCCATTGAAAAAAACACATATTTCACAGTAATGATTTTTCAGCAAGTTTAGATGTCTTGGTCAGTTACTTATCCTCTGGAATCATTTAAAGTGGTTCTAAAGGTAAGAGGTTTCTTGTCTTAATGCATTCTTTTCATTAAGGTATAAAACCTTCTGCAAGCAGCTCCTCCCAACCCCCCTTATATTTATTTGAGTCTGAT